CCGAGTCTCAAGGACAAGCCTGGCCTCCCTGTCTCAAACATTCAGATGCCTCATTGTATGAGCTCCTCTGAAGACCGTTCCCAGGATGTGGGTATCTGTATGCCAAGGTGGCCTCTCTCTCTCTCTACGCAGGTCACACTTTTCATCTGATGGCCTGTGAGGACAAACCTGTGAGCAGAAACCCTGCTGCTTGCTCCTAGTGTGCTGCCTCTGGGGCTGTTGCTACCAAGCTGACCTCACACTCTCTAACTATCCCTTGATTCCCCCTTCCTGGCCCACTAACATAGATGGTTCTCATCCTCAGCCCTAGTCAGTTCTGCTGTGATAGTTGATTAACAGCAGGTTGGCTGGCTCTGAAAGAAACCCTCTGCTTCATTTGCTTCAATGAGGAAAAGGAGGAAAGACTAAGAACAGAGACAGAGACCTACTCAACCTTCTACCCCTTAGGAAAGGTTCCTGTGCTCCCTTCCAGCCAGCCCAGCACATGGGGTGACCTGGAAAATCCAGGGTCCCGTATGACCTTTCTCTCACCATGGCCCTTCTACCTCCCCACACAGAATCACGTGCTTCTATTTCCGACACTCTGGGCCATCCCATCATTGCTGGAGTACAGCCAACAAGAGTCCTCAAGACAGGAAATACAGACTCTCTTCCTGGATTGGCAAATCAAACAGTACTACTTTCTTGCCATAAAATTACATCATACACTTCATGTAACTTTACCCAGAGAGCCTAGAAAGGAGAGTCCTTATCCTGGTAAGGGAAATAAGGAAGTTGAGACTCTGAGGCTGTAACCACCAACAATACGGGGGTGGGAGGGCATTGATTCAAATGAAAGAAATTTAAAATTCAGTTCCCTAAATCTATCATGCTCCAAATGCTCAGTAGCCACAAATGGCTAGTGGCGACCATGTTGACAGCACAGAATCATTGAGCATTGATGTCACTGTGGAAGGTTCTATGGGGCCATGCCCTGAGGGTCCCACGCTGGGTAGGAACTGAGTAGCAGGTAGTGTTTGTCTATCCTGACCCTCTCTGCTGTGGAGCCAGAAGGAAGAGGTGAAGCAGACAACATCAGAGCACATTCCCACAGGGATACCTTCTGAAGACACAAGAGAGATAAGACCTTCTGAGGGTCCCCTGCTTCACTGACTACTGCTGTCCACTCCGGGGGCCACCCAGTCATGATGCTGTCATATCACCTGGAAGGGAGACCTGGGGAGTATCTCCTCTTAACATTTCTGACCCCTGGGTTCTTGGAGAAGGGGACTCAAGCACATACTTGGACAATGGATGTCCCTAAGACTTCTTGGAAGTGGTGGAGGTCACTCAAGGTAATTGATTTACAAAATTTTTTGTGTGTTTCTTGCTTTTGAGACAGAGTCTCGTTATGTATCCCAAGTTGTCTGCCAGCATGCCAGGTAGTGTAGGTTGGCCTTGAGCCCTCAATGTTCCTCTCAATTCAGCTGCCTGAATTTCTGGGATTACAAGTGTGCACCATCATACTCAGTATGTAGAGTGCTGGCGATCGAACCCAAGGCTCCACGCATGCTTCCTGGCTGCATTCCTTTACCTCGCCTCCCAGCTTGCTGCAGATGGAGACGCCAAGGTCACAGGGAGGGCTCCCTGAACTAATGAAGTGATGTTTGAAGTGACTGTAGCCTCTGAGTGCGAGGAATGCTTGGGAAGGAGCACAGCTCATAGGACACCTTTGAGGACTCTGCTATTGGCAAGAAACTCTTCTCATATTGTATTCTCCTGTTGGCCCTAGAACCTCAGAGAGTGAGCGGTCGGATTGCATTAATCACAGTCTGGAGAGAGGCAGAAAGCTGTCCCTTCAACAAAAGCAGAAACAAACAAACAAAAACCATAAGGTCTGTGTAGCACAGGCTAGCCTTGAATTCCCTATGTAGCTGAGGATGACCTTGAACTCTCCAGTGTTGACATTGCAGGGGTATACCACTATCCCGTTTATATGATGCCAGAGAGCAAACTCAGGACTTCACGCATGCTCGCTAAATATTCCACCAACTGGACTGCATCTCCAGTCTCAAGCTGTCACTTCTTGGCTCCTTCATCTTCCCTGGGTCTTCTCTGTCCCCCAGGAGCAGGTCTCTTCAATGAAGTGTGACTTAATCAGGAGCCCTAGGTATTCCCAGAACTTCCAAAGTTACATGAAGAAGGCCTCTCTCTGAATACCCTGAGCTGTGGAGAAACACCTGGAGTGGGAAAGGAAATGAAAGGGAAGCAAGGCTTTCCTACAGCAGGACAAGCAGCGTGACCTCCGCTGCTCCAAACTGCCCAGAGAGAGGGTCGCCAGCCAGCACAAGCTACCAACACCCTATTTCCTGTCCCCCCCCCCCTCCTAGGACTCATCCTTGCTTCACCTGAATCCTCGCAAGCTCCCACATCAGATGCAAGGTGACCAACTGTCCCTGCCACCTCAGCACCCAGAGGGCTCTTAGCTTGTGGGATTTGCGGTTTTAAAATAGGACAGTCCCAGTTAAATGAGGACATTTGGTCACCCTGGATGGTGATGACATCTCTGAGAGTGTTTGCCTATTTTAGGACTAATGGGCTGTAGTGTTTCCCTAACATCCTGTGAGATCTCAAGACTTTGAGGTGATACCTAGGTATGAGGAGGATAAGGCTGAAGCAAGTGGAGGCAGTGGGTTTGAGTACCCATAGCACGAAGATGGACCTCTGCATCCATTCCAGTTCCCAGACCTGGATTTCCACTCCTCTCAGTCATAGGACAGCACTCACACTGCACACCTCTTCTCTAAGCCCCTTCCCTTGTGGGAGAGGAGCAAAGAAGGTAAACTCTGTGGTGTCACTAGGGACTCCTGGACACATTACTTCCCTGTGCCTCAGTTTCTTCATCTGCCATGGGACTAGCAGTGTCTGATTCACAACATCACAACAGGTGCATCACTGACTCTGCTGTGACTCCCTGGGCCACACTCACAGGTTCTAGGATACACTAGAAGAACTTTAAAAACTAAGTAAAGTGGCCGTCCTCATGGCCACTGTTTAGCACTGTGGGAGAAGAGTTTAACAGCAAAGGCCCAGAAGACAGAGTCAAGGAGAGGCTCAAGGCTTCCAGCTGGTCTCTGGTGCATTTGTATACGACAATGTGTGGTAGCACAGGTCAAGTTGTACTGACCAGGTCAGCTCCTCTGAGTATTAGTGTCCAGGGTTTTTATTGGTGGCTTATCTCTTGGGCAGAAAGCAAACGGGCTGGCCTTAGCTCCACAGTCTGCAGCTCCCCTATGGGTCAAGCTGATACGGTAGGATCCAGGACCCTGACCATACATCACAACATTAGCAAAAACCATCTGGTGAGGACAGAGGCCCCAGAGAAGAAGTAAAGGTAGTCTATCATACAGGTAATTGCAAGGGCTCCAAGGCTAGTTCCCCTGAATTTTTTAAATGTGAAAGTTTTTTTTTTTTCAAAAATGTCCTCATCCCAGATCAGCTGAGGCAACCCCTTAGAGCTCAGAAGTGTAGTAACACCCAATACCACTTTTGTTTCTTATACAGGGGTGGGATCTGCTTCACAAAGTCACCTGTATGTTGTCACAACTGCTACCCTACGGGATCAGATGGTTTCACTTGAATCCTCTTCCTCGTGGAGGATTTACCAGCCTCTTTCACAATGGGAGGATATATATTCAGGTAACACGCTTGACCTCTCTCTCTAATCCCACCCAGAGAAAGGGGAGGACACCCAGCCTCGTGAGTTTGGAGAGTGAGCAGCGCTCACCCAGCTCACACCACTTCCGTTCTCCCAAGCTGTCTCTGCACACAGATCATTTCACTTGTCCACAGACATAGCCCTTTGGGGGGATGCCCCCCCCCAGCTGTCCACCTCTACCTGTACTGTGTCTGGAGATGACATCAGGTTTAGAGATGAGGTTTCAGCTGTGGCTGACAGATCTTAAACCACAATCTCAAGCAAGTTATCAGCTCTAAAGGTGATTTCACCTGCCATATTCTGTAGGCCTTTGAAAGGTTTAAAGAAGACCTATTCATCTAAAGGTGATTTTAAATTCTATATTCTGTAGGTCTTTGAAAGGTTTGAAGAAGACCCATTCATCTGAAATATATCTCTATACATCTAGAAAACCTAACAAGTTTGACTATTATAGATGACTATTAATCCATAATTTTTAATTATAAATTACATTTTTAAATGAGTTATATAAACGTAATACCTTAAACAAGAGTAGAAATACACACATAACAAAATTGGTCTTAAATTTGTATCAATAAATCAAAGTCCATACCAATGTATTCCCTTTTTTTTCTTTAGAAAAACTTTGACTGTGACTATTAAACATTTATAACCAACCTCCTTTAAATGAAAATAAACACTTATAAATAATCATTTTGGGAATTTGGGTGTTGTTTTCTCCAAACTGCTTCCTTCTGTTTGTTGGGTGAAATACTTTTAGGGTTCATGGAGACCTTTCAGGGGATCTTGTTCCATCAAACCATATTAGCCTGAAAGGAATTCATAGGTTCTCATCTTCTGTGGAAACAAAAGCAGAACTTCTTTTCAAAGCAGCATATACTTAGACTCAAATTTTGAAATCTTCTCTCTGTTTCTCTGTGTGTTTCGGTCTCTATGTGTGTCTCTCTTCTCTTTGTCTCTCTCCTCTCTGTCTCTGTCTCTGTGTCTTTGCCTGTCTGTCTGTCTGTCTCCAAGGTTTAGTGGTCTAAGAATCCCCTCCAGGAAATACCCCCTTCTTCCAGCAATTAATCTCAGCAATTTCAGCACCCTGTCTCGCCCACACTAGAAGCATGTAGCAGACATCTGTAAAGCTTTCCAAAACACTCCAGGATGGTTAAGAGCGCAGACTGTAAAAGAGTTAGATAGCCCTAGGTTCAAATCCCAAGACAGTCAGCTTTGATCTCAGGCAGTTCACTCAGCTTGAGTCTTGGTTTCCTCATAACGCTAAAATGAAGTGTGCCACAGTACATACTATGGTTGGTGACTTTATTATGGGCTTATCAATATTACAATTGCTAAATTAACACAGTCACTGCTTCAGCTACAGCAGAGCCAATAGAGATATAGCCCTTCCAGGCAGACGGTTGATGGGTGGATATTGTGCTTAACCATGGGTCACAAGGTCCTTTGGTGAAGGTCAACTTGAGAGGATCCAAATATCTGCATCTTATTTGAGAGCGTCTGTGACTAGAAGAGGAGGATGAATGGGGCGGCAACAGAAGGTCAGAGGGTATAGGCCAGACTACGAGGCCTGACTAGAGAGGCCTCCAGGGCCCTCGGGCTGATGTGTGACAGCATTTGGGAGCGATCAGAGAAAGAAACAGACTGATTATAAACAGTCATGATGAATGCTAATGGCTCCTGTCACACATATGGTTGTCTGGGTACCCCAGAAGGTACTAGCCCCAAAACAGTCTGATCGGTTCAGGGGTTTGTGAGGCTGCAGCATGTTAAGTGAGCACTAGTCACCCATTAACACGGAGAAAAGGCAGAGGGTAGGGATCTGCCACCTGCAGTCAGTTCTGTCCTGCCCTCAGGGACAGGGGTACAGCGTCTCATAAATGACCGCACACCCTAGCAACCCCTGCTTCGTGAGTCAAATGCAGGCGTCAATTTCACTGCTCAGTGTGCCATCTTCTAGGTGTGACCAGAGAGTTCGACTGTCAGAGCTCCGACAAGGTCCACCCCACGGAACAGCCAGTCTACCGGCTAAACGAGAGGAAGCAGAGTTGGATAAAAGCCGTAAGGAAAAAAGGTGGACAACGATCCAGCGAGGCGAGCAGTCAGAAATTACAGCGTGCAGCCGTCTGGAGCCAGTTCAGCATGTGGGCAATCCCCCTCACTGAGCCGCTGGTCTGTCTCCGTGTAGAGCACACATTGACCAGTCTCAGTAAACCAACTACTAAGGGATAAATCACAGAAGCCTGGAGTCATTAAAAGAAAGGTAAATCTGTTCAACACAACCAGTTTTAAGAATATATAGGGGGGAAAAATGCTACACATTCAAGCAACTGTACCATTACAAATAGGAAACAATTAGAGATGAAGGTTACAGGTCTGACTTAGTGTTGGGGCCTCCTTCCTTGAGGAGGCGGGATAAACGGAACTTCACTCAAAAACCATATTGAGGTCTCTTTCTTTTTTTTTTTTTTTTTTTGCCGCTGCGTGGTGTTATTTTGGTAGCAGGAAAGCAATAAAAATGGAGAAAGGGGAATAAATGGGGACTTAAGTTTGGTCCTTCCATTAAAAAAAAAAAGAAGAAGAAAAAAGAAAAGAAACAATCTTCCAGTTGCCGGCGGACACGCACAGGCCTTCAGTCTGCCTGGCTCTTCCTGGTGACTCGCAGCGGGTCGTAGCTCCTGACCAGCATCTTCTCCAGCCGCTCGCAATGCTCGCGAAGCTGCTTCTCCCGGGGCAGAAGGAAGGTGAGCACCTTGTTGCGAACGATGCCACGGTCCTCCTCCTCCCTCAGTCGCTGCTTCACTCGCGCAGCCTGCTCCTCCTGCTGTGCCAGGACGCTGTTCATCTCGCAGAAGGCGTCCTCCAGGTACCCGATGGCCTGCAGAGCCTCCTTCTTGAAGTCCTCCAGCTCCCTTTGCACCGCGGCCACTTTCTGCCTCAAGATCTCCAAGTCGGCGGGCAGAGGGAGGCAGGAGGGCCATGACTGAGACAGGGAGAGGTCCCCAGACTGGAGCCCACTCTCCACCATCTTCTTTCCCTGTAAGGTATTCACCTTCATAAGAAAGGACCCCGCCTGAAGGAGGGCTTCCATCATCTCCTCCTACAGAGAGGAAGCCAAGAAACCGAGTCAGTTATTTGGGGGCTAGAGGCGCTATCATTTGGAGTAGCTAGACCCATCTCATTGTGACATCAAGGCCCTTCAGCCAATCAGACGGAAAGCCCCTGTTCGCTACTTTGCATATTGCGGCTTCCTCGGTTGATAACCTACAGTTTTACCTGTGCTTCCCAAGTTTCCTGAGGCCAGGCTTTTCGTTGCTTTGTCTCCCTTTCAGAACAAGAGCCCAGGCGTTCTTCTAACCCCACTGGGCAAGTTTTCTACCAGAGAGTGGAAAAAACTGGCCAAGACAAGGCAGGCCAGGTCAGGTTCACAGACTGCTGAGACTGAGCTGCGGTCCACCTCACAAGGAGCATGCCTGGTTTTACGGCCTGATGACTGGGCTGCATTCAGTCTCGCGGAGGTCATCATAACAGATGATGGCTGCCCCACCAATAGCTCTGAGATGCTAGAGAGTATTCCAATCCTAAATCCATCTTCCTTCAATGATGCCAGAATACTTAGGTAATCTTTTTATTGTGATATATGTGCTTGCTTATGAAGTGTGGTTCACAGAAATACCTATCAGATAAAAATGAGCCGTTCATATTTATTCAGTAAAAACTTCCTGAGTGCTGGCTAGGTTCTAGAAGGAGTGGGGGAGTAAGGACAGGTTGCTCAGCACACCTGGATGGTGGCAAATAAGAGAGGGAAAAGTGTGTATGGGTAAATCCTATGGTTTTGCCTGGTTACTATAGTCTCTAACCACATTTGACTCAGTCAAGAGCAAACCTCTGTTTTGCAGATTGCAATCTCTTGCTCAGACCTCCTTCCAGGGCTCCCAACATAAACATCTCCCTGACAACCAGCCTTGAAGTCAATCCATCTAGCCCTAGATAAATTACTTTACCCAAACTGCCTCCTGTTCTGCTGTCCTTTGAATGACCCTACCTGGGGCAGCAGCATCTAGGGACATGATCTGAATATCTGTCCCCTTCCCAATTCATTTGGAAACTCTTACCCTATCAGTATTGAGAAGTGAGGGGCTTTAAGAGGCAGCGTGTAGTAAATGGATGTCACCATCTCTAGAGTGGGTTCCTTATCATAAAAAATCTCTGCTTGGCTTCTTTTTGTGTCCCCGGCCATCTTTACCTTTCTGCCATGGGAACCTTCCACATGGGGTAGACAACATGAACATGAAGGTCCTCACCAGACACCAGCCCCTTGGTCCTGGACTTCAGCTTCTGGACTTATGGAATTATAAGGAAATAAATTCTGTTGTTGTTGCTTTGTAGATTCCTCTGCATCTGATGTTTTATTTTGTCGCTAGAGAACAACTCAGAGTAAGCCTCTTGGGATCGAGCTAGACTCCACATCCAAGCGACCACAGCGGCTGTTAGGCCTCTCATCTCTGAGCACCCTGTCGCTCACCCTCTTGCCCTGGAGTCCCGACTCCCCCACTTGGAAGCGAAGTCTCATTAGGAGAACACCTTTCCCCCTTGAGCCCCTGCTTCCGTCCCGGAGTTTCTGAGAGCTGTGCTGTACAGCTCTCTGGGAGAGAAACATACATCTCTGATGGGCAGATGCTGCCAATTTCCAAACTGTAAACACTCCCAGCATGGATAATTTTCAAGCTACCAACTTACTGTCTCCAGGAGGTGAAGCACCAAATGAGCCCTCCTGAGCCTGGATAAGCCAACTCCAGTGCCACAAGCAGGGTTGCCGCCTTCTCTGGGATGCAGATAGGCTATCTAGTGGCCTCGTGTAGTCATCGGAGAGGCCACATCGCAGGGACAGCTGTAGCCAGATGAAGGTGGGACTTTGAATTACAAGAAACTCCAATTACTGAAAAGCAATGCTGAATCTAAAGAGCACCTACTTTTCTGGTGATTCAGGAGAGCTGGAGTAGGGAACAGTTTCCGGGGTCCCAGGCCAATCATCTCCCCCCTCTGAGCCTGTTCCAAGCTGGGATGTAAGAGTTGAGAGGAGGCTTCTCTGCAGACTCCAGTGTTCAAAGCTCCCCCCCCCCCTCACCCCCAGCCTTCCACAGTCTCCCTTTCCTTCTGTCACTTACGACCGTTACCTGTTTCTTCCAGGACTTTTAGGTCCAGTAAACTCCAGCAAACAGAGATCATGTATGCCTAGACCTGTTTCCATTCAAGTGTCCTGCCTGCTGACCTGCACACAGTGGCGCTCAGATCACGAGAAGAAATGGAATTTCATTCCATAGGTGTCTCTCCAATGCTGGGCGCCCCTAACTTTTCTGCTGACACATTGACACCTACTGGCCTTCATTGAAACCGCAGCCTCAGAATTCCACCTAAGAGTGGGTGGGGACCAGCAGGTTGATGGAAGCTGCATGGGGTCTGTGCTATGTTATTAGGGGTGCCTATTGCACACATAATGGGTTCTCCATCAATAAATAACATCTCCTGGATTAGTGAAAAGGAGAACAAAAGTGTATCTCTTCTAGTCTCGGCCTCTGTTGTGTGTCTCTCTCTTCCTCCTTCTCCATCTTCTCTCTCGTTCTTTGCCTCAGGGACTGGCAGAAAGGTCAACATTGGGAGGATTTTATCAGTTTCTCTGGTGCTGTTGAATGAGGCTCCGGTTTGCTTCTCAGAGCCAGAGGGGTTTCCCTTATCCTAGGGGCAACAGGAAACTGAGAGCCAGGGCTGTCACCAGGCCTGGGGTCTCCTGAGCCTTCCGGACAGTGACTCACACTGAATGTGCCAGGAAGTTCCACAGTCAGGCCTGGCCTTGCCTACCACCTGCCTGCCCATATGTCTGAGGCATTAGGAATGCTGATTTACCTAGTCCCTTCAAGGTATCAAGAGAAAGAAATTTAGACCTAGCAAAGCATCCATGACCTTGAATCCCATCTTCAGGAGGGTCTCTTGTCCCAGTCTCTTTCAGTTTGTCACAGTTTCCCTGTGACTCAGGATGATACAGAGTCATGAGGGATGTGGAGACTTCACGGAGACCCAGGTCTCACCCCATGAGCTTCCAGTTCAGTCAGAATGGGTTGAGGCTAGTAGATAGCAGGCCTTAAAGGTACTGAGTTTAAGCATAAGGTGTGACCCGGAGTGTAAAACCCATTTCTTCTCGATCTGGACACCTCAGGAATGGAAAGCATAGCTTCCCTCCCCCTCCACCGCACTTCTCCCCCCCTCCCCCATGTGTTTTCACTTCTGGCAGTGGGGTAGACCCTCATCCTTTGGGGAATTAGAAAGGACACCCACTCCTATCTCCCCTGTCGCCACTTTGTCAAGTCACAAAACCCAGAGAGACCAGAAGTGCCTCGTGTTCTGTTAGAACGGCGTGCCCAGCCTTGACTAATCCACAGTTGGCTAGAACCCAGCTGTAGAGGGTTTCTAACCCACGGCTGGCTCACAGTCATACTCTCTGCCTGGGTTGGACTCCAGCCAGTTCCCTTGATACATAGGCCTCCCAATATCAGAACCAACTGGGGATTTGGTTTTTTTCATGCTTTTTTTAATTGATTTTTATTGAGCTCTACATTTTTCTCTGCTTCCCTCCCTGCCTCTTCCCTCCCCTTCAGCCCTCTCCCAAGGTCCCCATGATCCCAACTTACTCAGGAGATCTTGTCTTTTTCTGCTTCCCATGTAGATTAGATCCATGTATGTCTCTCTTAGGGTCCTCATTGTTATCTGGGTTCTCTGGGATTGTGATTTGTAGGCTGATTTTCTTTGCTTTATGTTTAAAAACCACTTATGTGTGAGTACACATGATATTTGTCTGGGTCTGGGTTACCTCACTCAATATAATGTTTTCTAGATCCACCCAATTCCCTGCAAATTTCAAGATGTTATTTTTTTCTGTTGTGTAGTACTCCATTGTGTAAATGTATCACATTTTCCTTATCCATTTAGGTTGTTTCCAGGTTCTGGCTATGACAAACAAAGCTGCTATGAACATAGTTGATCACATGTCCTTGTGGCACGATTGAGCATCCTTTGGCTATATACCCAAAAGTGGTATTGCTGGGTCATGAGGAAGGTTGTTTCCGAATTTTCTGAGAAATCGTCACACTGATATCCAAAGGGGCTGTACCAGCTTGCATTTCCACCAGCAATGCAGAAGTGTTCCCTTTACCCCACAACCTCTCCAGCATAAGTTGTCACCAGTGTTTTTTATCTTGGACATTCTTACAGTGTAAGATGGAATCTCAGAGTTGTTTTGATTTGCTTTTCTCTGATGACTAAAGATGTTGAACATTTACTTAAGTGTCTTTCAACCATTTTAGATTCCTCTATTAAGAGTTCTCTATTTAGGTCTGTACTCCATTTTTTTTATTGGATTATGTGTTCTTTTGGTGACCAATTTCTTGAGTTCTTTGTATATTTTGAAGATCAGACCTCTGTCTGATGTGGGGTTGGTGAGGATCTTTTCCCATTCTGTAGGCTGTCGTTTTGTCTTGTTGACCGTGTCCTTTGCTTTACAGAAGCTTTTCAGTTTCAGGAGGTTCCATTTATTAATTGTTTCTCTCAGTGTCTGTGCTACTGGGATTATGTTTAGGAAGTGGTCTCCTGTGCCAATGCGTTCAAGTGTGCTTCCCACTTTCTCTTCTGTAAGGTTCAGTGTGGCTGGCTTTATGTTGTGGTCTTTGATCCATTTGGACTTGAGTTTTGTGCATGGTGGTAGATATGGATCTGTTTCCATTCATGAGGATATCTAGTTATGCCAGAACCGTTTGTTAAATATGCTTTCTTTTTCCATTTCATATTTTTTGTTTATTTGTCAAAAATCAGGTGTTTGAAAGTTTGTGGATTAATATCTGGGTCTTTGATTCAGTTTCATTGGTCCTCCTGTCTGTTTTTATACCAATACCAGGCTGTTTTCAGTACTGTAGCTCTATAGTAGAGTTTGAAGTCAGGGATTGTGATGCCTCCAGAAGTTCTTTTATTGTACAGGATTGTTTTGATTATCCTGGGTTTTTTGCTTTTCCATATGAAGTTGAGTATTGTTCTTTCAAGGTTTGTGAAGAATTTCGCAGGGATTTTTATGGACATTGCATTGAATCTGTCGATTG